TTCAGGTGTCTCTCCTCGAAGATGGTGGGGTCCTGGCAGGCGTAGAGCTGGGCGCCACTCCACAGCCCGTCGCGGGGGCCCAGGGCACCAGGCGTGGGGTCTGAGAGGAGCTCGTAATCTGGGGGGGCGCGGGGAGGGGGAGGGGGTGAGCGGCCCGTCTCGTCCTGGGCCGGGCTCCTGAGCCCTGCTGTGACGCCCGGATCGGCGCGCTCACCCTCTCTGTGCATTATGGCAAGGCCACTGCAAGTCAAAGGGCACCTCGTGGGGACGGGGAAGAGGTGCCCCGCTGGGCAAAGGCGGCCTGCTTGTGCAGTGCACACCCTGCGCAACTGCACATGGCCGAGCCGTTGGAAGGACTTGGGGGACCCCATCTCCTGCGTCCCGCTGCTAGGGGGTGTGGTCCCATCACTGAGCTCGGGCCCGCGGTGGGACACGCCAGACGCCCCTACATCCCTGACGCGGGGGAAACCTAGCTCGGGGCCCTCCACACTCTCTCTCATCTGCAGAGGACCCGACAGGGACCCAAGGCCCTGGGGTGGGCGGAGCCACAAAGTGAGAGGTTCCTGCGGGCGTGCACACCCTCGCGGAATAAGAACTAAACCCCAGGCTGGCCTGGGTGGCTCACACCTGCGATCCCAGCACTGTGGGAGGCGGAGGCAGGAGGATCGCTTGAGGCCAGGAGTACAAGGCCAGCCTGGGCAACAGAGCAAGACCCTTTCTTCTAGAAAAAAATGTGTAAATAAGCTGGTGTGGTGACGCACGCCGGTAGTCGCAACTACTCGGGAGGCTGAGGCAGGAGGATCGCTTGAGCCCAGGAGTCTGAGGTTGCTGTGAGCAAGGCTAACGCCACGGCACTCACTCTAGCCTGGGCAACAGAGCGAGACCCCGTCTCAAAAAAAATAAAAGAAAAAACCAACAAGTAGACACCATCCCGTTGGACCGTGAGCCGAGGGGCCTGTTTGCCACGCGTCTGTCGCAGCTCACGCGGCTGCCACAGTCACCAGCCGCCCCCGCCCGCCCTGCCCGGCACTCGGGGTGGGTTCTGGGTGCAAAACACGCCGCTCCCGCCGGGCACCTGAATGCGGGGGGGAGGACCGGCGTCTGGCGCGTCCCTGGGGGCGGGCGGAGCCGGCCGGTTGGCGGGGTCCCCGGCGGCGGCGGGGAGCCGGGCGGTCTGGCGGGGTCCCCGGGCGCTGCGGGTGCGGGGGAGCCGGGAGTCTGGCGGGCCCCGGGCGCAGGCGGGGGTGGGGAGGCCGGGCGGTATGCGGGGCCCCCTGGGCGCAGCGGGGCCGCGGGCGGGTGTGGGGTAGAGGCCAGACGGTCTGGCGAGGGCCCCCGGCGCCGGCGGGGGGCGAGGGAGCCGGCGGTCGTCTGGCGGGGCGGGGCGGGGCGCGGCGGGGGTGCGGCGGGGTGTGGGGCGGGGTGCGGGGCGATGCCGGGCGTCTGGCGGCTCCCCCGGCGCTGTGCGGGGGTTCGGGCGGGTGGTAGCCCGCCCCTCCCCGCCCTCAGAGCTGCAGTTTTACGAGCAGCGGCGGCAGCTCCGGCCCAAGTGGACGGAGCTGGCGCTGCTGATCGCGCAGTGCATGGCCTACGAGCCGGCCGCCGGCCCTCCTTCCGCGCCGTCATCCGCGACCTCAACAGCCTCAGCACTTCAGGTGCCCGGCGGGAGCGGCGTGTTTTGCACCCAGAACCCAC